CCCTGCGGGAGACAGAATTTGGGGTCTGATCCCGTCCCCGGCTCCCCTCCCCCGGGCCGGTCGGGGCTGGGGGCCCGCGGGGGCCGCCGCGCTGGAGCCCCCGTACCGGCCCGAGGGCCCGGCTGCCCTCAGCCTGCGCGCGGTGGACTCCCTGGGTCTGGCCATTGGCTGATTTTTAAGCACCAATTGTCATGCAATAGAGGCTGCCCGGGTCCGGGGTGCCACTTGGCCGTCGTAACTCCGGATTCCCACGTAGGAGGTTTCTCTGGACCCGAGCATCCGAAGCTGGGAACTGGCAGGAGTTCAGAAGTTCGTGAATTAGCAGGTTCCCCAGCGTGGTCACTTTGGGTTCTGCCGGGCAGTGGAGTCGTGAATGGATGTTAGAGTATCTCAGCCGAGCACTGCTTTTTGAGTCTCCCAGCCCCCCGCATCCCTTTGTATACCCCGTAATCGCCCTCCCCTTCTCTGGGAGATCCTCGGAAATCCGTTTTCCCAGTTTTCAAATTGTGCTCCAGCATCGCCAGGGTTGCAAAACGGAATAGATCGTGGTCCCAGCGCATCAGGACCTGCCAGTCCCAGAGTGAGGATTAATGCGGGGCTTCCAGGGGAGGTGGAGAGTTCCGGAGTTGGGGCTCTGCGTGTCATGATTTTAGAGCTGGAAGTCTTTCAAGGTTATCGCACTCTAAATCTCATTGTACAGAGGTGAAACTGAGTCCACGGGAAGTCAAGGGACGTGCTTGAGGTCACCGAGAGTAATTGTGTGGCAGTTTTCAGACTGTCAGCGCTGTTTTCCAACATAACCTGTTCCTTCAGAGAGATAAGCTACACAAACATGCCGGAGAGAGTTCCAGACCTGTTTAAATGTAATAACGTAGATAGGAATCTTCTGAAATAAAATATATTTCCATAATCCTTTTCTTTTCTTTTTTTTTTTTTTTTTACAGCTAGACTTTGGGCTCCTTGAGTATTTTCCATTTTGTACTTTGGAATAGCCCCTCACCGTATCCAGCATGAAGTAACCTTCTTAATGATTATCCTCAGCAGGACAGGTAGGCTCTTTGGGTTTCTTTTTCTTCCTCATTTTTAAATAGGGAAGTAGGGTCTCGCGGAGGACTCCCCCCCCCACCAAAAAGAGTGTGTTTTTTCACGACAATGCACGGCGGCTGGCACCACCGGGGCAGGAATACGTACCTCGGGGAAGGTGCCAGGGGGTACCTTCGGGGAAGTAGCTCCAGCACTTGAACTGATTGCCGACAGATACCACAGCTATTTGAGGCTTGGAAGTTTCAGGGGAGCCTCTAGCCAGAGTGCTTGGTGTTGCCGCCCCGTGAAGACAAGTCTCTGAAATTGTGGTCACTGCAGTTAGAAAACAAGGATGGACCGTTAGACTTCGAAGCTCGCTTTTGAGGAGTTTTCCATCATTTGAGATACGGTAGTATTTTCTTCCACTTTTATGCTTGTGTGTCTCCAGACTTCACATCCTGAAGTGCCATCGTTTTGGTTTGGCTTGTTGTAAAAGTTGTGGAAGAGAAAATGATTCGGGAACTAATCCTCGGATCGTAACATTCTCAGTGCCGGAAAGGACTGGGATCTTGTACCCCGGTACCTCCCCTGGAGAGGCCCCGGGAGGCCGACCAGAGGGGATTCCCTCATTACACTTGAACTTCCTTCACCGACTCTTAAACTGTCTCATTACCTTCTCCTTCCTCGTGTAATCAAAGTAGCATCTTTTGATTTTTGCGTGTAGAGAATGATGCGACCTATTGAGGTCCCTTTCTACACTCGGGCTGTGGTTTGATGAGTAAACACGGATTTAAATTTTCCCTGTATCACAGGTTTTTTTGTAATCGCAATATATTTGTGTCTTGCAGGTGTGAGAGGTTTGCTGTCGTGTTACAATCATGGTGCAGAAATACCAGTCACCAGTGAGGGTGTATAAACACCCCTTTGAGTTAATTATGGCTGTAAGTACTTTACATTTTGATTTACTTTTTGGCCTGTTTTAAGTATTCAGATTTGACTGTAGCTGGATGTATTCAGATTTGATCTGTAGCCGGATGTTTATCATTTGTCTCCATTCTCCCATTTTTACTTGTTCTGTTTTTATGCTGACGAGCCACGGCTAGAGTTTATGAAGTGTCTTTAAGCTGTCAGTCTCTAAAAATCAAAACCTGCCTGTTTGTTTTTTTAAAACTGCACCTCAGGTTGATACATGGATTTGAGTTGAGGCGCTTGGGTGGCTCAGTTGATTAAGTGTCCATTTCTTGATTTCAGCTCAGGTCGTGATCTCAGGGTCGTGGGATCGAGTCCCGTGCCGGGACCTGCACTGAGCTTGGAGCCTGCCTAAGATTTCTCTCTCTCTCCCTCCCCCTTTGCCCCTCAGAAGCAGGATTCTGATGAAATACTTTTTCCTCTGGATTTTGTTCTTTTTGTTTGTTAAAGTAGAAGAGGGATGTGGAGAGGGTTTTTTTTTTTTCCCCCGAGTCCCACTCCCCACCTCCCTCCCACCTCAAAGTTGGCCGCCGCTCTCACTTTGAACACCATTGATGAGTGTTGGCTGTTTCATTTCTGTATTTAACTAGAAACTCAGGTGTTTTTGCATCTGGTTGTTTCTGCTCAACCTTGGTTGTGAGATTTATCCAGGTCAATATAGTTTTGAAAAATAGCCCCCAAAACTCAAGTCCTCTCAAGGAAACAATTTAGATTTAGGGAGTTTGTTTTTGTAAATTGAGGTATAATTTACATACAGTGAAATGGTCACATACTCAGTGTCCGTTTTGATCGGTTTTGAAGGAAGAGTGACCAACATGTCCCTTGTAGAACCTTTCCATCCATTACCTCAGAAAGTTGCCTTGTGCCTCTCCTCAGTCAGTGTGAGGTTTTGGGGGTTTTACTTTTGGTGTGGGGGTGGTGTTTCCAGTTCTGTATTTCCTTTTTTTTTTCCTTTTTCAAGATTTTATTTTTAAGTCCTTTTTACCCCCAACGTGGGGCTCAAACTCACAACCCCAAGATCAAGAGCGTTGTGCTCTACTGATGGAGCCAGCCAGGCGCCCCTGTATTTCCCTTAAATACTAGGACTGTTGAGTATGTTTTGTGAATGGTTTATCAAGAAAGGCTTGTTTCCTGTTTGCATGTTATACGTGCTGTTTTGGCTTTTGGTTGTGTGCAGCACAGACCCACTCCAGAGAGCTTGAGAAGGGGCATTGTTCGTGGGAGCACATGTGGGGTGATGTGAATTGCACAGAAATGCAGGAATGCAAGCTGGATGGGCTGAGCTCCAAGGACCTGGCATTGGAGGGTGGTTCCTGGCAGCTCTGGGGAACGTCTGTCCGCAGCAGTTGTCCCTGGAACTTTACCCCGTGGGACTCTGCCTTGCTCCGTACGCGGGAGCCCCCCGCTCCTACCAGCTGGCTGCGTTGCTCGCTCCTGGTCTTCCCTCCCTTGTGGCTTCAGCTCATGTGCTCTTTGAGCTATTCAAAACCCCGCAGGCCCCAGTTTGTGGCATTTCTTGTTATATTCTTTCAGTTTCTAAGTGACCGATTCTGGTCTTGTTTCCTAGTTCAGATTCTGGAGAGACTTGATCCGGTCATCTCTCCCCTGGAGCTAGGATGTAGGTTATTGGCCAGCCTGTGGATTATCTGCCCAGGGTTGGCGGCCTGACCCTTTTCAGTTGGTAGAGGCTGGTGGAACTGGGGGAGAGGGGTGAGGGAGCAACAGAGCCCAGGGGCACCGTGTGGGGCAGAGGACTGCCCCGAGGACTGGGCCAGGCCTGGTGGGGCAGGGGGACAGGAGCCATTCTGTTTTCTAAAACATGAAGTACTATCTTAAAAGCTCCGTGCAACCCTGATTCTGTGTGGCAAAGGTATTTTGGTCTCTTCTGCAGACGCTAGCTTAATAAAGAGGACTTTTGACTGTCTAGTGTTCAACTTCCTTATTTTCCTTACTTTGTTATTTTCAAAATGGTAAAGTTTGTCCTGCCCATTTTTATGCATGGATTTACAGGAGACTGAAATTCAAATTCTGAACCACCTCCCAGTCTTTTAAAATTAATGCATTTTTAAATTGCTTTTATTTTGAAGCAAGAAATCATTTCCTTTTGAGTTGTGAGAAAATATATATTTTTTAAGTTTATTTATTTTGAGAGAAAGAGAGAGAGAGTGTGCGTGCACGCGCACGAGCAGGGAAGGGGCAGAGAGGGAGAGAGAGAATCCCAACCAGTCTCCTCCTCCCTGTCAGCACAGAGCCTGGTTCAGGGCTCGATCCCACTGGGCGATCATGACCTGAGCTGAAGTCGGATGCTCAACCGACTGAGCCACCCAAGGTGCCCCCGAAAATATTTTTTAATCTGAAAACGAAATGTGTTTTCCTTCGGGAATTAGAAGCTAGAACGTTTTAAGTCTTTAGTGATTTTTTTGGTGTGGTGTCATTTGCCACTTTTTCAAGCTGAAGTTGTACATCATAAAATCCTCATTTACATTTACCCTGCTCTATCACCGTTTTTTTCCTTGAGCTTAAGCAGGAGTATAACAGACTTCCTGTAGAAATAGTCTTTGCGGCTCATTCAGAGTGGGGAGAGAGATGGCCAGTTAAAGCAAGAACGGAACTATGGCTTCAAGGGAAACGTTTTTGAGAGCGAGCCTCAGAAGGTGTGCGGCGCTAGTCACAGCACGTGGCGGTGACAGCGGCGTTGGGCAGGTGGTCGGCCTGTGGGATCTGGGGGTGGATCCAAGCCCTGCTTTACGGGGGTCCCGTGGGGAGGAGACTGTCGGGGAAGATGCCACTCCGTGAACGGATGCCCTTGTCTGTTAACCGAGAGCGTTACTGTAATTTAGTATGGCCTGAAAATGGCTTAGGGGAACAGCGACTAGTGTAAGTTGCTCGTAAGTTGCTTGGGGGGGGGGCGGGTATCAAGTATGTTAATTGCATTTGATCGATTCAGTGTAGCGTGTGCTTTGGGATCAGTGTACCGGTAGCATTAGGAAATCATGTGAGCGTTCTCACTAACCCATTTGAATTAAATGGCAAACCAGCAAAACGGAGGTGGAGTTTCTGCAGAAACCAGCAAAACGGTTGTGGCGTTTTAAGGGCCCGCTCTCATGCCATATTTGCCCAGAAACGGAACGGGAGAGCCTCAGTGAGTTGAGAAATCACCCGAGACCACCTGAGGCACCTCGGAGGGTGAGGAACCTGAGACACACCTCGTGGTAGAGGTCTGCTGCCCGCGTTCGGTTCTCTTTATCCTTCCAGGCCTCTGGCGCCCCGCGTGTGCCCGCGGTGTTTTCCGAAGGCTCTTGTTCGCGAGGGCGCCTTGGACTTGTCCAGTCTCAGCCAAGCACGTTTCCCGGGGCTCCCCTGCCTGGGTCGTGGGGAGGGGGACTGAAGGGGCTCTGGATGGGCAGGAAGGTTCTGGCGTGCTGGCTCGAGAGGGCTGCGCGTGGAAACTTCTGAGCTAAAACATAATTTTAAAACTTAGACGTGTTCAGTGACAGCTTTCCCCCCGCTGACCGTTAAGGGCCCCTTCCTACGTGACCCAGAGGTAGGGTAAAGTTGCTGGAGAGCAAATGGAGGGACACGCGGGAGGCCAGGGCCCCGAGGGGGAGGAAAGCCCGCGGCCCAGACGGCTCTCTGCCAGCATTCGCCGGCGAGGGGCCCCCTTGCCAATGATCCCTTTTCACCTGAGGACAGCCGTCGTTTTGGCCAGTTGGAGCGCGTGATGGGAGAGGCTCTGCCACGTGCCCTGCCACCCCGCGGACCGCCACCTTGTCCGGCCATCAGCGCCAGCCACGTGGTGCCCACCCCTCCTGCCCTGCTCTGGCCAGCTTCCCTCCTTTCAGAAGCCCCGTCCTTCTTCCAGAGCGCCCACCGTCTGCGTCCCAGCACACCTGTCCTCTGGTCGTGCCTTCGGGTCACGCGCTTCCTGTCCCCTTCTCTCCCTGCACCACCTGAGTTATTTGTTCTGTCCTTACGTCTTTTGCGCGGACAGGTCGCCCTACGTTCGGCTGCCATACGCCGTGTCTGCCCGGCAGTCGCCTGTTTGACCTCTTACCTGTCCCACCTGCTCTAAACTCCTTTGCTCTCTCGCAAGGCCCTTCCTGTCCTCCCCTCTCTATTTCACCTTACTTCACGAACGTGGACGTTTAAGTCTGCTCTGTGCTGTCCTGGCTTGCCACACGGTGTTTTTCTGGCCCTCACACCCCTTTGACCCTTCCTTCCTTCCCTTCGCTGCTCGCTTCTCCCGTCTGTCCTCTGAATCTCCGTCCCGCTGACCCAGCTGACTTTCCCAGGCCTCTGAGCACCGCTGCTAGGGTCTGTCTCCCCTTCCTCGATCCCTTATCAGGGTCACCCGTGGTAGCTACTCCCCCTTGTAATTAGCGTTTCTTTCATTCTCAGGGTTCCATGCAGCTATTTCGAATGTTCCTCGGGGGCAGTGACCTCGTGTGTTATTTTCCTTGTTCCCTCGAGTGTCAGCGCTAAATGCATAGTAGTCTCTCAGATTGCACTTGATCAGCCGACACGTGTGCACTTGAGCTTTGAGTACGAGGCCTTGGGAGGTGGGTTTGATGGAAACTCATCTCTGAAATGTCGCCCTGTGGTCCGTTTTCGGACACGAGATCTACGTGTTCCCCACGGAACACTTTGATCCTTCAGTGAGCTAATACCTCCCTTAGGAGCAGAGCCCTTTTGGTGGTGAATGTGGCGAATTCTTTTTTTGTTTTTACATTTTCCTAAATCCTACAGAGTCCTGTTGACAAACCCCTTATTAGGAGTTTGGACGATGTATTTCTGTAGGTTGAATAAACAGAGAAGCTATTTGCTGGGGTGCCGCTGTTGATTAAATGGCCCACGACCACAAGACTGACTTTTTTTGTTCTTCTCTCTCGTGTTTCATTTTTGTTTGTTTCATCCCATTTTTTTGGTTTTTGTTTGTTTTTGTTTCTAGTCCCTTTTTCCTTAGGTGCCTCCT